ATGTGTCTAAGGGCAGCATGGTCAGTGTGCACAATCACCTTGGACCCAACTATATGATGTACTTGCATTTTGCATGGTTTTAGTACATCTTTTATGCATCTTTTGCATAGTTTTAGCATCCATTAGCATCATATCTTGTTTCTTTTCTCTTCTTCTGCATTCATAGTAGTTTTAGGTTGCATTTGCATACATATGCATGTTTGATCCTTGAAATAGGTCTTTTGGAGCACTTTGGAGCATATGGGACGTGAGGAGCAAGGAAGGACTTGGTGCATGGACGTAGCTCAACTGGATACGCAAAGGAAGGAGGAGGAAGCCATCTTGAAGACCAGCTCGACCATCTACTCGACCAACCAAAGATGGGATTAGAGCTCTAAAAAGTAAAGACAATAATTAAAAAGAAACTAAAACAAAAAGTAATCTAAAGCTTGATGTTTTTTTCGTGGCTTTTAGCCCTTAAATACAAAGAGGATTAGGTTTAAGGTCAAAGGGAAGTCAAGGGGGAAGCAACATTTTTTCGGGTTTGACTGTTGACTTCTCAGCTCGATCGAGTTGAAGCTTGGCCGGTCGAGTTGAGGAACTCGACCAGTTGGTCGAGTAGATGGTCAAGCTGGTCTTTACGATGGTTTCCTCCTTCTTCCCTTGCGTATCCAGTTGAGCAACTCGACCGGCCAAGCTTCAACTCGATCGAGCTGGGAGTCAAAGTCAAACCCGAAAAATGTTGCTTCCCCTTGACTTCCTTTGACCCTAAACCTAAAATCTCTTGTATTTAAAGGCTCTAAGCCACGAAAAAAACAAGCTTTAGATTATTTTGTTTTAGTTTCTTTAATTTATTGTCTTTTACTTTTTAGAGATCTAATCCCATCTTTGTGTTCTTGAAGCTCTTGCTTCTTGAATCCTAGATCCTGGATAATCTCTTTGTATTTGCACTTGCTTATTTCAATAAAAGTTGTTTAATTTCATCTCCTCTTTCTTATGATGTCTCTTTTATTGCATTTGCTTGTGTTTACATTCATGTGTAGTGAGTAGTTACCCATTAGGGTTTGAGATGGGATAGATTAGAGGTTTCATATGCTTAATCCTTCTAGCTTATGGTCTTAATCTAGATTCTCTCTCTTTTGGATAGATCTTAAGGCTACATGACCACTACCCCTGGCTTGTAAGTCCTTAGGCGATTCTCCACACGAAGTGATGGCATCGCTGGAAAAGATCCACTAAGAGCTCCAATATCTCTTGCTCTAGAAATAGAGGTCTAAGGGGTTGGATGGATTAGTTTGGCAATGATCCTATGGCCTCCAAGGTTTGATTCTCACTGGCTAACCCCCTGTTTCTGAGATCATTCCTTGGTTGATAGCCTCACCTTGGGAAAGGGTTAGCTAGGCATTGAGAAGCTCAATATCAAGAGATACCTTGATACAAGTTTTAAGAGCAAGATTGATTATAGTGATTGCAAAACCCTGTCTTGAACCCTAATTGTTCTTCTATCTTGTTAAAGTCACCTTTAGCTTTTTCTCAACTCGACCCTAAACTCGATCGAGCTCGGTACTCTGTTCCAACTCGACTCGAGTCCTTGGTCGAGCTGTTGCTCTACTGCTTTATTTACTTTTTCTGCATTTCATTTTTTTCATTTAGGTTGTTAGTGTTACTTCATATCTATTACTGCTTGCTTGACTTCCTGGTTGTTTCATATTCTCAAAGAGTGACAAGTTTCCCATTTTGGATTGATAACCCTTTGTACTACATCAACTATCATGGTTAAAGGGAATTGTTGACTGTGTTTGTGTTTGCATCTTACCACTCATCATTTACCACTGTTTCCACTCATCTCATTTCATATCATTTCACATCCACACACAAATCCTATCATTTAACCCCTTTCTCCATCTCTGTCACACTCTATTTTTCTGAAAATCATCCCTCTCTCTCTCTTCACCACAAGAAAATTTTGAGTTTCAATCTTTCTCTCTTAAGTTTCACGATTTCCTCTTGTTCTTCATTGTTTTACTTTGGTTCTAGTTTCTGTTCTTCAATTCATCACCACAAGCAAGGTATGAGCCTTAAAAACCCTTGATTCCCTCATCTCGATTCTCTTATTGCTTGTTTCTCTTTTGATTTTGATTGCATGTGCCCCTTGTGGGTTGTTCTTGAGTAATTGCTTTCATATCATCTCATGTTTATAGTTTTGTGAATTTGCCTCACCTCACCTCTGTTTTTCCATTAGAACTTGTTGCATGTCTTGTTTCCATTGAATTTGAGTTTGGTATTGGTTAAGATGCTTTGGTTTTCACTAGAATTGCTTATTGTTCCATTTACTTGTTGTTTTTGGTTCAATTTGATTTATTAAGCATCTTTCCAGCTCTTATTGTTTGATATAGGTTCGGTTCTACTCTGTTTTCACTTAGCTCAATCGAGTTTGTCACTCGAGTTTTTTGACTCGATCGAGCTGAGTGTCGAGTTGACCGAACCAACGATTACAACTCTAATTCCTTGAGTTTTTGATGCATTTCAGGAACCCAACTTCAAGAAGCAACAGTTTAAGATGTTGAGAGGTGAAGGAAGCAAGGCAGCGTTCACAAAGAGGGAGATAACAAGAGGAGCAAGGAGAATGCTTAAGACACTAACCAAGGAAGATGAGGAAGAGATTGAGAGGTTGAGGGAAGAGAGAAGGACCAAGAGGAGGAATGACCCAATCAGCAGTGAGAGTGAATTGGGAGAGTTCGAGATTGGGTGACACTCCAAGGGAAGAGAGTGATGAGTCTGAGAGTGAAGAGGAAGGAGAAGAGGTGAATCAATTGATTGATGAAGTGGCAAGAGAGCAACCAAGATGAGCCCATGGAAGGCTGAGCCACAAGAGGAGGAGGATGAGCTCCCCATGTACCAAGAGCACTATAATGCTCTCTTCTCCATGGACTTTGTGGAGACCAAGTACCCACATGATGACACAATGAGGGCTCTTGGGATCTTTGAGGATGTGGAGTTGGTACTCAAGAACATGCATTGGCAAAGTTCTTCTCTCACCGCATGGAGTCATACAAGGAGCTCACTTGTGAGTTTTTGGCATCGATGAGGTTCACCAAGTATGAGAGCTCGATCGAGCTGAGTTGGACCAAGGCTGGGGATGGATTACTTTCTTGGCAAGAGGGAGAAAGGAAGATGGTAACCTTCAGGCAGCTAGAGATACTCTTTGGTTCACTTATGGAGAAGGAAACCTATGGGATATCAAGGAAGATGACTCCAAAGAGTATGGGCTACAATCGCTGAAGAGGATACTCTTCCTCAAGGTCAAAGGCTGCTCAAATCAGGAGCCCAGTGCTGAGATATGTCCACAAGGCTCTTGCCAACACCTTCTTTGCAAGGAAAGCCACTGGTACAATCAATGAAGGAGAAGTGAAGCTCCTTGACATGGGAATTAAGCCCATCATCTCACGCACAAGGGATGGGAAGAAGATCAGAGGAGATAGGGCACACGCAGGAAACCTCATGCCTCTCCTTGAGCAGCTGCTCTCCTACAAGACACGCCTACAACACTCGACATCAAACGGGAAGGAAGCTTAGTGTTGGAGGAGTCATCACACCAATCCTCTGTGCAGCACACCAATCCTTTGTGCAGCTGGAGTCCAACTTGACAAGAGAAGGTCAACTCCAGCTGGATGGATGGACATCAAGTTTTGCAAGACCAACCTCCTCATTGAACACAAGGAGTTGGATGGGAGGTACCAATTCAAGTTCACACATCCATTGGCTGGTCCTTCCAAGCTTCTCCTGCCCAACCCAGAGCTCACCACAGTAGTCAGGGGTGAGAACATCGATTTCAGACCCCCTGTGTACACACTAGTTGGGCATGAGGATGAGTTGCGAGAAGAGGAGCCTGAACTCGATCGAGTTGAGGATCGAGCTGAGGTTCAAGCTGAGGATCGAGCCCAGGAGAATGCGGATTTGGGTGAGCCTGAATGTTACTATTTTGAGGAGTATGAGGCTCCAAGGATGAACCCCTCTGTTGTGGCTGCTCACAAGAGGATTGGACTTCTCCAAAAGTTCAACAAATGGCAAGGGAAGCCATTGAAAAGATGCAAAAGTCCATGGACAAGATGGTGAGCAAGATCAAGAGTTTGGAGAAGAAGGTTTCTGGTTCTTCATCCAAGAAGAAGAAGGCAACCATGGCCCCCACATTCCCTAGGAGTAGATCTCTCCTCACCACCCCAAGGAGGCTTCATACCCAAGAGCCTCACAGAGCCTCATCATTTGAGCCAAGGGAAGGAGAAGACAACTCGCAGAGGAGGAGGAAGAGTCCAAGGCCAGACGCTCCAGCTCGACCACCGGACTTGATCGAGTCCAAACTCAACTCGATTTCGAGTTGACCTGTGGATTTCGAGTACGATCCAACGCCCTACCAAGACTTCTCTCAGAGCCACTGGACTCCTTACAACCGTTTCAAGCAAGCACAGCTCCACCAAGGCAAAGGAAGCCACACACGCTTTGAGGAAGAAGAAGAGGAAGAGCAAGCTCGACCGAGCTGCACAGACATAGTGGAGTGGAGCGCTCCTGACGGCCGTCTGCCCTCTCCTGACCACGACCTTGCCTCCCAGTTCTTTGGGGGGCACTGAGGTATCAAACACAACCCCTTGTAAATACCATTTCATGTTTTCTTTGCTTTGTTTTTATTTTTCTTGGTTTTGCCCTCTTGAATTTTTCACTAAATTTCTCTCACAGAAGGGACTGTGTGATTTAAGTTTCGGGGAGGGTTCAAGAGATGATTTAACCTTGTTTTCTTTGTTCTTAGTTTTTCATTCTCTTTTATGCATAGAAAAAATCAAAAAAATCATAAAAGTTTCGATCGAGTTGGGTGTAAAAACCAGAAAAGTGGTAAAAGTTGGGAAAATCCAAAGGAAAAAGAGTTTAGTTAAGTCTAGTAAAGGTTTGGGAAGTTAAAAAAGGAAGTAAAAAGGGTTCTAAGTAGAATGAAAAGAAGGCAAAGCCTCAAGTGTCAAAAAGGAAAGAAAAGTTCCCTAAGTGTTTAGAAAATCCCAAACCGCTAGATGTTACCTCAAGAAGCCTCTCCCTAGGAAGTTCTTAAAAGAAAAGTGAGCAAAGCTCCTCAGTTTCAAAGGCGAAATGCCAAAAAGGGTAGTTAGGATTTTGTTCTAAAAAGCTCTAAGTGTTGAACTCGATCGAGTTAGGATTAGACGGCTCGAGCTGCTGTTCTTGCATCATCTTTGGTTCTAACACTTAGCCTTCTGCCAAAGCAAAGCCACTTTCTTGAGAGATCCCTGTTACTAAACCACCATACAAAAGAGACCCTCTTTGTCTCTTAACCCATAAACCCTTGAAACCAAATGAGTTGATTGATCTTGCATGTTTTTGGTTCACTGTTTTTGCTTAATGAATGTTAAAGGGATTTGCTGATTTGAATGCATTGTTTGAGTGACTGTGAAGTGGGATTGATGTTGATAAGCATGGTTAAATCTTAATGAATATCTCTCACCTTGTTGCATTCTAGAATCTCTAAGTTGGACATTTAGCAAATCGCTTTTGAGGACATGTTTTTAAGTGTTGAATCAGCTGTTTTCAAACCTCATCTCTTTCTTGTTCTATTTGTTTGCTTGAGGGCAAGCAAAGTTCAAGTTTGGGGGTGTTGATGTACTTGCATTTTACATAGTTTTAGTACATCTTTTATGCATCTTTTGCATAGTTTTAGCATCCATTAGCATCATATCTTGTTCCTTTTCTCTTCTTATGCATTCATAGTAGTTTTAGGTTGCATTTGCATACATATGCATGTTTGGTCCTTTGAAATAGGTCTTTTGGAGCATTCTGGAGCATATGGGACAGAGGAGCATGGAGGGACTTGGCATGGACGCAGCTCAACTGGATACGCAAAGGAAGAAGGAGAAGCCATCTTGAAGACCAGCTCGACCATCTACTCGATCGAGCTGAGGAAGTCAAAGTCAAACCCGAAAAATGTTGCTTCCCCCTTGACTTTCCTTTGACCCTAAACCTAATCCTCTTGTATTTAAAGGCTAAAAGCCACGAAAAAACCACCAAGCTTTAGATTACTTTTGTTTTAGTTTCTTTTAATTTATTGTCTTTTACTTTTTAGAGCTCTAATCCCATCTTTGTGTTCTTGAAGCTCTTGCTTCTTGAATCCTAGATCCTGGATAATCTCTTTGTATTTGCACTTGCTTATTTCAATAAAAGTTGTTTATTTCATCTCCTCTTTCTTATGATGTCTCTTTTATTGCATTTGCTTGTGTTTACATTCATGTGTAGTGAGTAGTTACCCATTAGGGTTTGAGATGGGATAGATTAGGGTTTCATATGCTTAATCCTTCTTGCTTATGTCTTAATCTAGATCTCTCTCTTTTGGATAACTTAAGGCTACATGACCACTACCCCTGGCTTGTATGTCCATTAGGCGATTCTCCACATGGAAGTGATGGAAATCGCTGGAAAAGGTCCACTAAGAGCTCCAATAACTCTTGCTCTCGAAATGGAGTTCATAGGGGTTGGATGGATTAGTTTGAGCAATGATCCTATGGCCTCCAAGGCTTGATTCTCACTGGCTAACCCCCTGTTTCTGAGATCAAGTCTTGGTTGATACTTTTTAGAGCTCTAATCCCATCTTTGTGTTCTTGAAGCTCTTGCTTCTTGAATCCTAGATCCTGGATAATCTCTTTTGTATTTGCACTTGCTTATTTCAATAAAAGTTGTTTATTTCATCTCCTCTTTCTTATGTCTCTTTTATTGCATTTGCTTGTGTTTACATTCATGTGTAGTGAGTAGTTTCCCATTAGGGTTTGAGATGGGATAGATTAGGGATTTTATGCTTAATCCTTCTTGCTTATGTTCTTAATCTAGAAATCTCTCTCTTTTGGACAAACCTTAAGGCTACATGACCACTACCCCTGGCTTGTATGTCCATTAGGCGATTCTCCACATGGAAGTGATGGAAATCGTTGGAAAAGGTCCACTAAGAGCTCCAATAACTCTTGCTCTCGAAATGGAGTTCATAGGGGTTGGATGGATTAGTTTGAGCAATGATCCTATGGCCTCCAAGGCTTGATTCTCACTGGCTAACCCCCTGTTTCTGAGATCAAGTCTTGGTTGATAGCTTTCACCTTGGGAAAGGGTTAGCTAGGCATTGAGAAGCTCAATATCAAGAGATACCTTGATACAAGTTGTTTGAGAGCAAGATCGATTAAGTATAGCCTTCCTCTGATTGTAAAACCCTGTCTTAGACCCTAATTGTCGTTCTAGCTTGTTAAAGTCGCTGCCTTTATTGCTTTTTACTTCAACTCGACCCTAAACTCGATCGAGCTCGGTACTCTGTTCCAACTCGACTCGAGTCCTTGGTCGAGCTGTTGCTCTACTGCTTTATTTACTTTCTGCATTTCATTTCTGTTTCATTTAGGTTGTTAGTGTTACCCCATATCTATTACTGCTTGCTTGACTTCCTTGTGTTTCATATTCTCATAGAGTAACAACTTCTCCCATTTTGGATTGATACCCTTTATGCTATAACAACTATCATGGTTAAAGGGAATTGTTGACTGTGTTTGTGTTTGCATCTTACCACCTCATCATTACCACTGTTGCATTCCACCACATCTCATTTCATATCTTTCACACCCACACACAAATCCTATCATCACTATATAGTTTCGAAATTTCTCAAAGGCAAAGACGATGGCAAGGAGCTCCTTCTCTGTGGTTGCATACTTGCATTGAGCATCATCCATAGTTTTGCTTGCATAGTAGATGACATTGAGTTTCTTGTCTATCTTTTGGCCAAGCATTGCTCCTACTGCATAGTCAGATGCATCACACATAATCTCAAATGGGTAATCCCTGTTTGGAGCTTGAACTATTGGGGCAGATACCAGAGCATCCTTCAGCAAGGTCCAAGACTTGTGGCATTCTTCATCAAACTCAAAATCTGTCTCTTTGCACAGAAGCCTTGTCAAGGGTCTTGCTATCTTTGAGAAATCCTTGATGAATCTCCTGTAGAACCCTGCATGACCCAGAAAACTCCTGATGTCCTTCACAGTCTTGGGAACAGGAAGCTGTAACATGACATCCAATTCAGTCTGAAGTGGGGATATTCCCCGTCGCAGATTACACGCGCCCATAAGCCTGTGCTGGGTAGTTGTGTTGAAGTAGTACCATCCTAGGCCAGCCCTACATTCTGTCTCCTTCCAAGCCCCATCCACCTGACATCTATCTCCTGATATCATAGTTTCCACAGGGGTCAATGAAGGTGGATATACCACTTCCTGTTTATCCTGGGCCGTTTCCCAAGCCGTTGCTTCCGCTGTAGCTTTGGTAACTATTTCATTAGGGTCCCAATCCACATTTGACATAACTTTGTCATTGCGGGCCTTCCAAATATACCAGATTAACCAAGGGTAGATCCCCATTCTATCATCGTTTGGCAGATCCCAAAACAGATGCACCATATTCGTAAAGAAACCTCATGTTGGAGCCGTTGGAATTGGAGATAAAGCCCAAACCTGTCGTGCCGGTGGAAATTCAAATAAGGTATGATTAACTGTTTCTGTAGCCATCCCACACCACATACATTGGGGGTCTATCTGCATGCCTCGGCTCCTCAGCCTGTCCCCTACGGCTATGCAACCCGTCAAAGCTTGCCAGATAAAATGTTGTAGTTTTTGAGTATATTGTACCTTCCACACTTGTGCCTGTAGCCGCTGTGTGTCAGGGCCAAAAAAATTGGGACTATTAGCCTCCAGGGCTTGTTGTGCAATGGCGTAACCCGATTTCACCGTATATCGGCCCGTCTTTGTGAAGAACCATCCCATGGAATCAGGATAATTATCGTCTTTGTCCCGATAATTATGGACACATCCGTATTGTCAAATAACTGATTTAATAGTGGTAAATTCCACGTTGTTGTACTGGGATTTAACAATTCACTCACCAGAAGTTGGGGGTAGAAATTAATCCCAGGTCATGTGGCTGGCCTCGGGCTAGAAGCAGGAATCCATGGATCATCCCAAACAGAAATAGATGATCCTGAACCAACTATTTTAATAAGTCCTTTTTGAACCAGAGGTCGAGCCGATATTATACTCTGCCATCCGTAAGATGGGGAATATGATCTAATGGGGTCCAAAGGAGCTGAATTCCGATAGTAACGTCCTTTAAACACCCGTGCAAACAACGAGTCCGGGCAGTCCATTAACCGCCATAGTTGTTTTGCTAGTAACGCCGTGTTGAAATCCTCTAAGACCCTGAAGCCCAATCCCCCATAATTTTTGTGCCGCCATAGTTTCCTCCATGCCAGCCAATGCATTCCACGTGATTGCCCATTATTACTCCACCAAAAATTCGATACGGCGCTAGAGAGCTTATTTGTAATCCCTTAAGGTAGACGAAAGCAGGACATTACATACATGGGCATCTCCGAGGCTACGGACTTGATAAGGACCTCTTTTCCCCCCTTTGATAACCACTTTGAGTTCCAGCCATTTATCCTTTGTTGTTGCCTATCAACCAAGAAACTAAAGATCTTTGTCTTTGCGCCTCCCAAACTCTCTGGGATTCCCAGGTAATTCCCTACGCCCCCCACATTAGTAATCCCCAGTGTTTGATGCACTTCGGTCCGCACTCCCGGGTCCACTGTGTGTCCAAACTGTACTGAGGACTTTCCAAAATTAATTTGTTGCCCCGAGGTTATCTCATACTCCTTCAGAATTTGTATTAAAACCCGGCTCTCCTCACCATTCGCTCTGCAAAAAAATAGACTATCATTTGCGAAAAGGAGGTGGGATACCGGTGGACATGCCCAAGCCACCTTAAGTCCCGTAATCCGCTTATGTTTCTCCGCTTTCTTTAGATTTACTATTAACACTTCCGTACAGAGAATGAAGAGGTAGGGGGATAACGGGTCACCCCCGGTGAGGAGTTACTTTTCCTTTTGGTTGTCCATTGAGCAACACCTTATACTTAACTGATGAAATGCACCACATCATCCTAGAGCTCCAATGCTCCGGGAAACCCATTTTTCGCATCAATGCCTCAATAAATTTCCATTCAACCCGGTCATAGGCTTTACTCATATCTGTTTTAACCGCCATAAATTTTCCTTTGCATGATTTGTTTGTCCGGAGGCCATGGAACATCTCCTGAGCTATCAATATATTATCGGAGATTAGGCGACCAGGTACAAAAGCCGACTGAGTTTTCCGAGATTAACCTTGGTAGGAGCACTTTGAGTGTCTGACACAAGACTTTGGAGATAATCTTGTAACCCACATTACAGAGAATGATTGGACGTAGCTCCGTCATCCTGCTCGGTCTTCCCGTCTTCGGGATTAAGCATATGTGGGTCATATTCAACCTTTCGTCAAACGTGCTTGATGTGAGGAAATTGTTTACCTACATGATAATATCCTCTTTGACAATGTGCCATGAGCGTTGGAAAAATAAAGCAGTCATTCCATCTGGTCCCGATGCTTTTTCTGGGTGCATCATAAATAAAGCCTCCCGCACCTCTGCTTCCGTCGCTCGTCGAGTCAAGAGTTCATTTTCCCGTGTTGTAACCCGTTCTGGCAGGTTCTCAATTAAGCACCCCCGTAAAATCTACCGGTGAAATTGAGGAAAATAGTTTATCAAAATAGGAGACTGCTATCTTCTCCACCTCATTCTCCCCAGCTACCCACACATTAGCATCATTATGGAGGCCTACTATCCTGTTAACTTCTCTTCATTGTTTCGTCGATGCATGGAAAAACTTAGTATTTAAATCCCCATCCTTCAACCACAAATTCCGACTTTTCTTTTTTCCAGTATTCCTCCTCGTCCGTATAGGCTTCCTTTAGTTTATTGGTTATGATATTGAGTTCCTCTTGGGTACTATTATCATCATTTTGGACCTCCTCCAACGCCCGCTGTAACTCCACAATCTTTTGCTTTCCATATGGTTGCTTTTCTTTCCTCCAAATGGATATTTCATGGCGACAATTATGGATCCTGTCAACCAAATTTGGTACCACTTCCCCCCGAGAAGAATTCCACCCCCGGTCAATAGACTCAAGGAGTCCCTACAGACCAATCCACCGTTTATCAAAACGAAACTGTTTTCGCCTCTTTGTTACCTTTGAGTCCAATGTTGCCAAAATGGGTCTATGGTCCGAGCCAATCATTGGTAAATACTCAACATGGGAAAGAGGGAACAGATCATGCCAATCCTCTGTTACCAATGCTCTATCTAAACGGCAGCGCACTATTTTCCCCCGCCTTCTTCCCCTCCACGACAGAGTATTTCCGCGGCTTGGAAAATCCACAAATCCACAATCACTTATCATTAAGTTAAAAGGAACAAAGGACGAAGCTTGTCTCAAAGCACCATCTTGTTTCTCATGATTGCATGTGATCTCATTTAAATCCCCGATAAGAAAACATGGTTCTATTCTTGTTGGGCCTATTCTCGTTATCCGTTCCCATACCAGATCCTCTAACTTATTCACTGGGTCCCCATAGACAAATGACATAAAACTCGGTTTTCCTTCATGTCGAGCCTCAATATAAATTATTCTTTTATTAGAAAAAACAATATTGACATCATAACTATTATTGAAAAATAAAGCCAATCCACCACTCGCACCACACGGGTCCACCGTAAAGATCCTATCGTAGCCAAAATGAAACTGAAATTGCTGGACAAAACCAAAGCTTTGCTTTGTTTCTGAGAGAAACAAAAACTTAGGTTTAAACTTTCCCCAAATCTCTCTCAGGTGACTAATTGTGTAAGAATTTCTCAACCTCTGACAATTTCAACTCAAAACCCTCATATATCAGTCTTTTTATATCTATCTGAGGTTGTTTCCCGTAACAAACCTCTCCCCCACATGACTTCTGGTCCTGCATATTGTGAAACATCAAGAAAGACCTTCCCTACAAGCGATCTTCTGTTCCTCGGCATAATCCGTCGATACTCTGGCCACCAATTGTCCCAAATCCATCCTGATTCCGTCGTGGACGGAGCTCTTGCGTTGCCCAATCTTGCAGAGTCTGTCTACTTTTTGAACAGCAACCATTCAATAACTTCACAAGTCTGTGACGAGGATCATGTCTCCTATCAAAAGTCAGGATTTGCCTTAACTGGGAGATTTCGTCCCCACCCCCAATCTCTTCTTCCTCCGCTTTTGATCCAAAGACTCCAATCATTAATTCCTCTCCGCTCCTCGCGTGAGATCCTTGATTTCCCAAATCTCCCATATCCTCCTTTTCCGTTCCAGAGAGCTCCCCTGATTCTCGTACCACCCCTATCACACAAATCCGATCTGGAGAGATTTGATGAAATCTCTCCAAAGATCCATCGTTAAAACCACAATCTCCGGTATCCTCCATTTCCTTTCCAGAAGGTTCCTCTGATTCCCGTACCATCCAGATCACACAAACTCGATCTAGAGAGATTTGATGAGATCTCTCCACAGTCCATAGTGAAAACCCCAATCGGACCCTTTTAAAACCGTAATCTCGACCGTAATCAAAACCGTCTTTATCTCAGATACAAGATCCCGTAATCGCCATCCTTGTCGCTGTCCGTGAGCGTTTTTTTTTTTCTTCTTTTTCCCCCCACTTTGTGTGTTAAAAAGTAAAAACATAGTGTATGGTTCTTCTTTTGAATCATGTTTGGGGAATTTAGGAAGAGTTCTGCAAAGCTGTGAAGACAAACACCTAGTTCTAAATTGGGAGAATTGTCATTTTATGGTTAGAGATGGGAGAATTGGGAGAATTGTCATTTTAAAAGAGAGAGATTTCTAGGTTAAGAACATAAAGAAAGAGAGATTAAACATAAGAGTCCTCTAGTATAGCCCATCTTAAACCGTAAAGAGAACTACTCACTACACATAATGAAAATACATAACCAAATGCAATGAAAGAGACATTAAAAGAAAGAGGGAAAGAAACTAAAGAACTTTTATTGAAATAAGCAAGTGCAAATACAAAAGGATAAGGCCTAGCTCTAAGGTTCAAGAGCAAGAGCTCAAGAACAGAAAGAGAGGCTAAGGTTTCTGCAAAAAGTAAAGTTACAAAATTAAACAAAAGCAAAACGAAATTAAGCTCAAGGATCTTGTCTTTCTTCGTGGTTACAAGCCCTTAAATACAAAAGAGATTAGGTTTAGGGTCAAAGGGAAGCAACATTTTTCGTGTTTGACCATTGACTCCGCAGCTCGATCGAGTTGGAACTTGGCCAGTCGAGTAGAACAAGAAAGAGATGAAGTTTGAAAACAAGTTGATTCAGCCTCAAAAACATGTACTCAAAAGCGATTTGCTAAATGTCCAACTAAGAGATTCTAGAATGCAACAAGATTAGAGATATTCATTAAGATTTTAACCATGTTTAACAACATCAATCCCACTTCACAGTCACTCAAAGAATGCATTCAAATCAGCAAATCCCTTTAACATTCATTAAGTAAAATCGTGAACCAAAAACATGCAAAATAATTCAACTCATTTGGTTTAGGGGTTTTATGGTTAAGAGACAAAGAGGATCTCTTTTGAGTGTTTGGTGGTTTAGTAACAGGGATCTCTCAAGAAAGTGGCTTTGCTTTGGCAGAAGGCTAAGTGTTAGAACCAAGATGATGCAAGAGCAGCAACTCGAGCTACCTAATCCTAACTCGATCGAGTTCAAACTTTAAAGAACAAATCCTAACTACCCTTTTGGCATTTCGCCTTTGAAACAGAGGAGCTTTGCTCACTTTTCTTTTAAGAACAACACAGGGAGAGGCTTCTTAAGGTAACATCTAGCGGTTTGGGATTTTCTAAACACTTAGGGAACTTTTTCTTTTCTTTTGAACACTTGAGGCTTTGCCTTCTTTTCTTTACTACTTAGAACCCTTTTTTCTTTCTTTTTATACTTCCCAAACCTTTACTAGACCCTTTTAAAACACTGCCAACTCCCTGGACTTAACTAAACTCTTTTTCTTTTGTTTTCCCAACTTTTACCACTTTTCTGGTTTTTACGCCCAACTTGTAACACCCCAAGTTCAAGAATCTCTCTCAGGTGACTAATTGTGTAAGAATTTCTCAACCCCTGACAATTTCAACTCAAAACCCTCAAATATCAGTCTTTTTATTTCTATCTGAGGTTGTTTCCCGTAATAAACCTCTCCCCCACATGACTTTTGGTCCCGCATATTGTGAAACATCAAGAAAGACCTTCCCTACAAGCGATATTCTGTTCCTCGGCATAATCCGTCGATACTCCTCCAACATCAATCCCACTTCACAGTCACTCAAACAATGCATTCAAATCAGCAAATCCCTTTAACATTCATTAAGCAAAAACAGTGAACCAAAAACATGCAAGATCAATCAACTCATTTGGTTTCAAGGGTTTATGGGTTAAGAGACAAAGAGGGTCTCTTTTGTATGGTGGTTTAGTTAACAGGGATCTCTCAAGAAAGTGGCTTTGCTTTGGCAGAAGGCTAAGTGTTAGAACCAAAGATGATGCAAGAACAGCAGCTCGAGCCGCCTAATCCTAACTCGATCGAGTTCAACACTTAGAGCTTTTTAGAACAAAATCCTAACTACCCTTTTTGGCATTTCGCCTTTGAAACTGAGGAGCTTTGCTCACTTTTCTTTTAAGAACAACACAGGGAGAGGCTTCTTGAGGTAACATCTAGCGGTTTGGGATTTTCTAAACACTTAGGGAACTTTTCTTTTCTTTTGACACTTGAGGCTTTGCCTTCTTTTCTTCTACTTAGAACCCTTTTTTCTTTCTTTTTTACTTCCCAAACCTTTACTAGACCCTTTTTTAAACACTGCCAACTCCCTGGACTTAACTAAACTCTTTTTCTTTTGTTTTTCTCAACTTTTACCACTTTTCTGGTTTTTACGCCCAACTTGTAACACCCCAATTTCACGATGTAGGCCCATTTTGAATATTTGAGTGTGTGAAGCCCAAACCCAAAATTGGTGTTTAATTTTCGGTAACGTGAGAATGTGCATTATGAAGATAATAATAATAGGATCTTGTATCTTCATTGAGCAATTGGGAGAAAACCCTAACTCAGCAAAAACTCAAGCCGTCAATGTAATTTTTGTAAGAAGAGAGAAGAAACAGAGAGACAGAGAGAGACAAAGGAGGAACCGTACGTGAAGATTTGGAAAGTGATGAGAAGAAGAAGCAGCCATGGAATCCAAGGAGAAGATGATTGAGAAGAAGAGAGATCTAAGAGTGGTCAATCGACTGTATCGCACAGAGAAGAGGATTGGAAGAAGAGATGTAAGTGAGAAGAAGAGACAATGGTCACGGGGAGAAGAGATCGGAGACGTCACGGGAGAAATAAAGGAGACGCCACGGCAAAGGAAAAGCATGGGAAACGGGAGATCTGGATCATGGCGTTAAATAGAAGAGGAAACTTATCAGATCAAGTAGAGACCAGAGGAAAACAGAGGTGGAGAAGTGAAGAAGAAGAAGAGAGCAAAGAAAGTAAAACAGTGCTGATGAGGTGGCTTTGGAGGCTTACTGTCGGCACACGAGATGTCGGTTTGGTTCACATACAGTTTATTCATGTTCTCAATCAACCCAAGAGTCCAAAGAAGTCAATTAGGAACCCTAGTTCCACCGGAGGTGCATTTTAGAGGCGTTACTTCCTTGCCAAGAAATTGCTGAGAAACCTGCAATTTATTCTCAGGAAACCATTGTGTGTGAAGCATACTTTGGGGAACGATTACGACCGGAGGAAAAGGATTTAGACCACGACTGAGATGTCTATGGAAATAGAACATTTCTGAGAGGTCACAGGAGAAAACGGTTTATCAATTGGAGTTATAACGCATCCGCAAATTGCAATACAAGTTAGCACAAAATCATCCAAGTCTGAGATTTCCAGAAAGACAGTTCCCCTGCAGCGTTTTGAAGTGATTTTTTGGAAGCGTAAATGAAATCCGATCGAGCTGATATTTGGTATATGAAATGGTGACATATCGGAGTTCAGAATCAACGGTGGGATTGAGAAGGTAACGGTCAGTTTGTTATCTATTACCTGTTTGGCACAATGAAAAGCAGAATGATATGTCTGACGATTTGTAATGTTTGGTTGGGCATATGAGCTCGGATTGAGCTCATTCATGGCAGGAGCTTATTAGACTTAAGTATCTACGTCCCAGTAGAAGTAGAACCGGTTTGGAGTTAAGAAGCATGGAGAAACATGGTGTTAAAGCTGAGACATAGAATCTCTCCAAAGGAGAAGTAAGGAGGAAATGTGTTTTGCCTTTGCTAAGGTGAGGGTGTGATCTGTGGAAGCATACTTTATATTTATTTTGTAATGTTACATGATTCATGGCATGTAAGCTTAGATCTGTTTGCTAGAGTTATTTGCTAGAGTTAGGTTCTATGATGATATGCTTTATGATATTATTGATATGAAATATGGTATAATATAACCTGATATGATGTATGATTAAAAGGTATGTATGATCACTCATATTTACAAGGTAACCTGATAGAAAATATGACTTCGTCAACCTCTACCTCTTGTTCCCCTTGAGAATCATCACTCTCTTCTCTTCCAACATTCACCCCAATCTCAAACTCGCGAAGTTCACTCTCACTGCTAAGGGATTATTCTCTCTGTTTCCTCCTCTGTTCTTCCTTCATTCTAACAAACTCCTCCCCTTCATCATCGTTCATCCTTTCTAGCATTCTCCTTGCTGCCTCTTCCTTTTGCTTTCTTCCTTGAGTAGCATGGTTTCCTTCACCTCTCAACATCTTAACCTTGTTGCTTCTCAAAATGGATTCCCTGAAATTCATAAAAGGTCCAAAGAATTAGAACTGCAATGAACGATTCGGTCAACTCAACACCCAACTCGATCGAGTAAAAAAAAACTCGAGTAACAAACTCAATCGAGCTAGGTTGAAACAGAGTAGGCCGAACCAAAATCAAGGATTTAAGAAGGAGAAAGGATGCTAAACAGTCAAATCAAACTAAGAACAACAAGAACTTAGAACAATAAGCATTACTAGTGAAGATTAAAGCATCCTAAACTATACTAAACTCAAATTCAAAGGATTAAAGAACATGCAACAACTTTAGAGGTTAAAACAATGGTGAGAAGAGACAAAGTTCATGAATTTCTCTAAACAAAAGATGATTATGAATGCAAATACTCAGAACAAGCTCATAGAGAACACATGCAAGCAAAATTTGTAAGAGGCGAATTGCAATGAGAGATAAAGGAGGATTAAACTAATAATTCAGAGGGTTTAGAGATCAAACCTTGCTTGGATTATGGCTGCTCTAGAACAAGAGCTAAAAACTATGCAGTAAAAGAGAAGAAGCAAGGAGAAATCGAAAAAACTTTAAAGGAGAAGAAGAGATTTTCTGGTTTTCCTTAGAGAGAAGGGAGAGAGATGAGTGATTTCAGAAATTTGTGAGTGTGAGAGAGAGAGGGGGCGTGGATCGAGTTATAGGGAATAGAGGGTGTGTGAGATGTGTGGTGAGGAATAAAAGAGGGGACAAAGGTATAGGGTTTCTTTGGTGGAGTTAGGGAAGTGGGGGACCAAAATAACAGATGTGGGACACACTCACTTGACCAAGGAAAACGGTTACAAATTTGAAATTCAAAAATTTTACCTTCCTCGATCGAGTTGAGGAACTCGATCGAGTCACCTTTGTTTCTGGTTCGATCGAGTTGACGGTCGAGCTGGCTTCTTTTCACCTAAACTTATCTTCCTGCAAGGGTTAAGACACGAAATACAAGATAAAAATTGAATAAAAGACTATGTACAAGGATAGACATGGGACTTCCTCCCAAGTGAGCTTGTTTAAGGTCCCATAGCTTGACCTTTACCTTTTAGGCATTGGTTGAACTAGTCCCACCATCAAGGGTGATAGTGAGGAATCGAGATAGAAGCTCCTTTAACTTGGTTGGATCCCTGGATTGCTCAGAAGTGACCAAGACTTTAGCTCTAGAGAATGGTCTTGATCTCCCCTTGTACCTTATCTTGTACTCAATCTTCCCATTTTCATACTTGGTGGGAACAAGGTCATAGTGAGCTGAGATGTGAGCTGGGATGGCTTGACTAAAGTGGCCTGGACTGGTGGATCTTTCCTCTTATCACCTGGTCGTGCCTTAGAGGTGCATCCTCCCCTTCTTTTAGAGCCTTCCTAGTGGCTCATCAAACAAAGCTTGAAGGCTCTCTTCATCAAGTACACAAGGTGCATGAACAAGGCGATCAGCTCTTGGCCTTTCAGATCTTGGTTTCTCAAGTCTTGGTTTTTCAATCCTTGATCCTTTGCCAACCCTTTGATCCCTCTCAACCTTATCTCTTACAACTCTTGTTCCTTGTCAACCCTTTCCTTCACAACCTTGGCAACTTCTTGACTCTTTGGAATTTAGAGGGGTGCTTTCAATTGTGCCACAATACTCATATCCTTTAGGCTGCAAGCGATAAGACACCAAACTATTCACCTTGTGGAGAATCACCTCTTTCTTGTGAAAATCAATTGAAGCGCCAACTGTACTAAGGAAAGGAGTTCCCAAAATCAGAGGTACATCCTTCTCTTCTTCCATCTCCAAGACAGTGAGATCAGTTTGGATGATGCATTCTCCTATGTTCAAATGATAGTTTTTGAACACACCAAGAAGAGATTTAGAAGTTCCATCTCCAAACATGATTGAAGTGGTAGGATGCTGCAATGCTCCAGCAATGCCAAGCTTCTCTGCCATTGTGAGAGAGTTGAGGTATATACTTGCACCAGAATCGACTAAGGCGTTGTCAAGCTCAAGATGGCCAAGTGTGCAAGGGAGAGTGAATTTCCTTGATTCCTCACCTTTGGTAAGAAAGTAGGTGAGGTGAGTAGGTTGGTTTGAAGGGTAGACATCTCCAGAAGGTGGAAACTTTGTCCCTGTTGTCCAAGACATCTTGAATCAATTGCATTTGCTCAAATGCCTCACTCATGCTTTCCATAGAAGGCAACTCACTCCAATCTCACTAAGGTCTCTTCTGAACTTGTGAATCACTTCCTTATGGCCTTGACTGAGTAGGCGGCCTGAGGATGGATCAACTGGGTGGTAAGGATCAAGCAAAACGGTTTCAGGACTGATGGTGTCTGACTCGATCGAAGCTAGAACTCGACTCGATCGAGCTGCCGATCGAGCTTGTTGTGCGACTCAACTGGTGAAGTGTGGATGACTATTTGAGTAGCTTGCACTTCAGGTTGATCATTCTGGACTCCAGGAGCCTCAGCAACAACATTGTCGTCGTCATTTAGCAGCATACAGAACTCATCAATTACTGCCTCACTATCATCTTCCTCATGAGGTTCCTCTTGAGAGAAGATCACTTTGCACTATTCCTTATGATTCTGAATAGCTTTACCAGGTAGTTGTCCTTGCTTTGCAGCAGCAGCTGCAGAAGAAGCATGGTTTTCCAGAGTACACTCTTGTGTTCAGGTTCTCTATCTTGGAGTTAATTTCAGCCAACTTCTTGCTTGTCTCTACAACAACATCCGCTTGGCCTTGAAGCAACTGTTTTAACATGGCCTTGAGCTCATGCTCAGGTGTAGGCGCAGGCTGGGGTGGTTGGTGGGGAAAGCCAGGTGGTATGTGCATTTCTGTCCACGAAAAGTCCCTTGAGGGCCTTGGTAGTTGTTTTTAGGACCATACCCATATTGAGGGGCTTGACTCGATCGAGCTTGCTGTTGTTGAGGGTAGACCTGATCATGTGGATTGGCAACGTCAATCAGCAATTATCGTCCAAGTGATAAGGAAACTCAAATGCAACAATATCAAACCCAAATGGCAACGGCGCCAAATTGATGATAGGATTTTAGTGTGTGAATGATGAAATGATGTAAATGATATGAGGTGGAATGCAAACAGGGGTGAATAAAGATGAGATGGTATGGTGCAATCACAATCAATCAATTCCTCTTAACCATCATAGTCGATGTAGTATAAGAGGTTATCAATCCATAAGGGTTTGTTGCTACTCTATGAGAATATGCAAACACAAGAAAGTCAAGCAAAGTAAAGATGGATGTTCTAACAACCTAATGAAATGAAATGCAAAGAAAAAAAGTAAATAAAAGCAGCTCGACCAAGGCTCGATCGAGTAGAACAGAGCTCGATCGAGTTGAGGGTCGAGTTGAAGTAAAAACAGAGGAAATGCGAATGAAAAGCGATAAAGGTGCAAACTTTAATACTAATGCGAAGGTTAGGGTCTAAGACAGGGTCTTGCGACTAGGGGAAGGCTATACTTAATCAATCTTGCTCTTAACACTTGTACTCAAGCTATCTCTTGGTATTGAGCTTCTCAAGCCTAGCTAACCCTTTCCCAAGGTGAAAGCTATCATCTAAGGCAAGATCTCAGAAACAGGGGGTCAGCCAGTGAGAATCAAGCCTTAGAGGCAGTAGGATCATTGCTCAAACTAACCCATCCAACACCTATAAACTCCATTTCGAGAGCAAGCATATTGGAGCTCTTAGTGGACCTTTTCAAGCGATTTCCATCATTCCATGAGGAAAATCGCCTAGACTCATACACACCAGGTAGTGGTTGTAGCCTTAAGGTTTGTCCAAAAGAGAGAGATTTTAGGTTAAGAACATAAAGCAAGAGAGATTAAGCATAAGAATCCTCTAGTCTAGCCCATCTTAAACCCTAAAGAGAACTACTCACTACACATTGAAATACATAACCAAATGCAATGAAAGAGACATTAAAAGATAAGAGGGAAGAAACTAAACAACTTTTATTGAAATAAGCAAGTGCAAATACAAAAGATAAGGCCTAGATCTAAGGTTCAAGAGCAAGAGCTCAAGAACACAAAGAGAGGCTAAGGTTTTGCAAAAAGTAAATACAAAATTAAAGAAAAGCAAAACGAAGCTAAAGATTGTCTTTTTCGTGGCTACAAGCCTTTAAATACAAAAGAGATTAGGTTTAGGGTCAAAGGGGAGTCAAAGGGAAGCAACATTTTTCGGGTTTGACCATTGACTCCGCAGCTCGATCGAGTTGGAACTTGGCCGGTCGAGTTAAAACCTGATCCCGCATCAACCTTCTTCTCCAAACTCTTGATTTTACTCACCCTCTTGTCCATTGACTTCTGCATCTTCTTCGTTGCTTTCCCTTGTCACTTGTTGAAGTTTTGGAGAAGTCCAATCCTCTTGTGAGCAGCCACAACAGGGGGATTCATCCTTGGAGCTTCATACTCCTCAAAATAGTAGCAGTCTGGCTCGCCTAGTACTCCATCAGTTTGGACCTCTTCCTCAACTTGATCCTCAACTCGATTGAGTTCAAGCTCCTGTTCTCGCATCTCAGCTTAATGACCAACAAGTGTGTGAAGTGGAGGGCAAAAGTCAATGTTATCACCTCCTCTAACTGTTGTGAAGTCAGGATTTGGTAGAAGCATCTTTGAAACTCCAGCAGTGGAATGTTTGAAAAGGAATTGGTACATCCCATTCACCTCCTTGTGATTTATGAGCAGATTTGTTTTGCAAAACTTGATTTCCATCCCGCCAGGGGGAGTAACTTTATGGCGAGATGGATCCACACCAGCAGCATGCAGAATAGGCGTGACAAGGCCTCCAACACTCAGCTTCCTCTTCTCTTGAAAGTGAGTGTTGTATGCTGTTATCTTGTAGTTGAGGAGCTGATCTAGGAAGAGAATTAGATTCCCAGTGTCTGAGGTGTCTCCCTTGATCGATCTTCCATCCCTTGTACAAGGGAGGATTGGCTTGATCCCCATATATCAAGTAATTGGAGCTCTCCTTCAGTGATTGTACCTGTTGTTTTTCTTGCAAAGAAGGTATTGGCAAGCTCCTTGTGCACATATCTCAGTATTGGACTTCTGATTTGAGCAGCCTTGGACCTTGAGGATGAGTAAACTCCTTCAGCGATTGTGGTCCAAACACTTTGAAGCTCTCTCTTGCTGAACTTCCACTCAGTTCCTTCCCCATAGTTGAAGCCAAACAAGATCTGGAGCTGCCTAAATGTGACCTCTCTCTTAACCCCATCAGCCAAAAATGTAATCCAACCCAAACCTTGATCCAAATCGGCCATATCCTCCTCTTCATACCTATGGTACCTCAATGAAGCCAGGAACTCACAAGTAAGCTCTCTTTGTATGACTCCATTCTGTAAAAGAAGAACTTCGCTAAGTGCATGTTCTTGAGCACCAACTCCACATCATCCATAATTCCAAGCGCCTTCATGGTTTCATCATGTGGGTACTTTGTTTCCACAAACTCCATGGAAAAAAGGCATCATAGTGCTCTTGGAACATGGAGAGGTCATCTTCTTCCACAGCTTGTGGCACAGTCTCCTCCATTGGCACATCTCCATCAGCTTCCTCAACCACTTCCTCTTGCTCACTTTCAACAAACTCAACTTCCTCTTCTTCTTCACTCTCTTCACTCTCAGCCTCTTCCTCCTCTTGAGCGCTTTCCTCTTCTCGAGATTCTCTCTCTTCCTCTTCTTCATGTTCACTCTCTGTCTCCAACAGTGATTGATCATAACCTTCTACATCAGAATCCACCACCCTTTGTATCATTCCCTCTAAATCCTCTATCCTCCTTTGTTTCTCTTGCTTCCTTTGAGCTGCATTGCTTCCTTCACCTTTCACCATCTTGACTATGTTACTTTTCCAATTAAGTCCCCTGAAATTCATCAAAAGACTCACAGAATTAGAGCTGCAATGAACGATTTGGTCAACTCTATCGACCAACTCGACCGAGTTAAAAGACGCAGTCTGTGGACTCGATCAAGTTAGGCTAAAACAGAGGAAACCTAACCTAAATCAAACAATAAGAGCTATATAGGATGCTTAACAACAAAATTGAACCAAGAACATCAAGAACTCAGAACAATAAGCCATATAGATGAGGTTCAAAGCATCATAACCATACCAAACTCAAATTCAAGAGATTAAATACATACAACAAATTCAAGGTGAAACAATGGTCAAATGAGACAAGTTCAAGGATTCCTCTAAAAAAAGGAGGTTTATGAATGCAGAGACTCAAGAACAAGCTCACAAGGAACACATGCAAGCAATATTCAAGTGAAGCGATTTTAAACAATCGGGAAACTAAAGACCAAGCAATGGAAAGAGAGACTTCAGAGGGCAAACCTTGCTGCGATTTTGGCTACTCTAGATTCAGGACTATAATACATGCAAATTAAGCAAAAGAGCAAAGAAGAAATCGCAAAACTTAAAAGAGAAGGAAGAAAATTTTCTGGGTTTCTAGAGAGAAGGGAGAGAGAATAGAGAGAGATGAGTGATTTTTAGGTTTTTGTGAGTGTGAGAGAGAGAGGGAGGCGTGGTGGATCAAGTTATAGGGAAGAGAGTGTGTGTGAGATGTGTAGTGAGGATTTAAAGAGGGAGATAAGATCCTAGGGTTCTCTGGTCGAGCTAAGGCAAGTGGGGCACCAAAATCACAGATGTGGGACCAACTCCCTTGACCAAGAAACGGTTTTTTACGTGGCTCGATCGAGTTGAAAACTCGGGTCGAGTTACCTTTGTTTCTAACTCGATCGAGCTGGCGGTCGAGCTGACTTCTTTTCACCTAAACTTATCTTCCTACAAAGGTTAAAACACGAAAAACATCAAGCATTTGAAATAAAGACTATTTACAAGGATAAACATGAGAATTCCTCCCAAGTGAGCTTGTTTAAGGTCTCATAGCTTGACCTTTACCTTCTTAGGCATTGGTTGAGCTGGTCCCACCATCAAGGATGATAGTGAGGAATGATGAGAGAAGTTCCTTTAACTTGGTTCGGTCCATGTACTGCTCAGAAGTGATCAAGGCTCTAGCTCTAGAGAATGGTCTTGTTCTTCCCTTGTACTTTATCTTGTACTCAATCTTCCTATTTTCAAACTTGGTAGGAAACAAGGTCATAGTGAGCTGAGATGACTTGCTTGAGGGAGCCTGAGCTCGTGGATCCTTTCTTTTATCACCCACAAGTTCCTTTGAGGCTGCATCCTTGATGTATCTTTTATGCATCTTTTACATGGTTTTAGTACATCTTTTATGCATCTTTTGCATAGTTTTAGTATCCATTAGCATCATAGCTTGTTCCTTTTCCCTTCTTGTGCATTCATAGTAGTTTTAGGTTGCATTTGCATACATGTGCATGTTTGGTCCTTGAAATAGGTCTTTTGGAGCACTTTGGAGCATTTTGGACGTGAGGAGCAAGGAAGGACTTGGTGCATGGACGCGGCTCAGCCACACACGCAAAGGACGAAGGAGGAAGTCATCTTGAAGTCAGCTCGACCACCTACTCGACCGGCCAAGATTCAACTCGATCGAGCTGAGAAGTCAACAGTCAAACCCGAAAAATGTTCTTGAGCTTCATGCTCCTTGAACCTTAGATCTAGGTTTATTTTCTTTGTATTTGCACTTGCTTATTTCAATAAAAGTTCTTTAGTTTCTTTCCCTCTTTTGTTTAATGTCGATTTCATTGCATTTGATTGTGTTTTCATTCATGTGTAGTGAGTAACCTTTAGGGTTTAAGATGGGCTAGACTAGAGGATCCTTATGCTTAATTTCTTTTGCTTATGTTCTTAATCTAGAAATCTCTCTCTTTTGGACAAACCTTAAGGCTCCATGACCACTACCCCTGGTTTGTATGTTCATAGGCGATTTTCCACATGGAAGTGTTGGGAAATCGCTTGAAAAGGTCCACTAAGAGCTCCAATAAACCTTGCTCTCGAAATGGAGTTCATAGGTGTTGGATGTATTATTTGAGCAATGATCATACTGCCTCCAAGGCTTGACTCTCACTAGCTAAACCCCTGTTTCTGAGATCATGTCTTGGATGATAGCTTTCACCTTGGGAAAGGGCTAGCTAGGCATTGAGAAGCTCAATATCAAGAGATACCTTGATAGAAGTTGTTTAAGAGCAAGATTGATTAAGTATAGTCTTCCCCTAGTTGTAAGACCATGTCTTAGACCCTAATATTCGCATTAGCTTCTTAAAGTTTCTGCCTTTATCGCTTTTTACGCTAACTCGACCCTCAACTCGACTGAGCTTGGTTACTCTGTTCCCACTCAATCAAGTCCTTGGTCGAGCTTCTTGCTTTACTGCTTTCTTTTACTTTCTGCATTGCATTTCCATTTCATTAGGTTGTTAGAGTCACTTATCATCTTATATACTGTCTGCTTGACTTTCTTGTATTTGCATAAATTCAAAGAGCTTCATTTAACCCTTTTGGATTGATACCCCTTATACTTCAATGACTATGATGGTTAAGGGGAATTGATTTATTGTGATTGTGTTTGCACCATACCATATCATCTTCATATACCACTGTTGCATTCCACCTCATATTACATTTCATATCACCACATCACACACACGTAAAATCCTATCATCAATCCTCCCCTTCTTTTTGAGCCCTTCCCTAGTGGATCATCAAACAAAGCTTGAAGGCTCTCCTCATCAAGGACACATGGCGCTTGAACAAGGCGATCAGGTCGTGGCCTATCAGGTCTTGATTTGTCAAGTCTTGGTTTGCTCTCAACCCTTTTCTTCACAACTGTGGCAGCCCATGACTCTTAGAACTGAGAGGTGTAGTTCCAATTGTTCCACAATACTCAAAACTCTGGGGCTGCAAGCGATAGGATACCAAACTGTTCACTTTGTGGAGAATCACTTCTTGATTGTGGAAATCAATTGATGCGCCCATTGTACTAAGGAAAGGGGTTCCCAAAATCAATGGCACATCCCTCTCTTCTTCCATTTTCAAGACAGTAAGATCAGTTTGTATTATGCATTCTCCCACTTTTAATGGGTAATTCTTGAACACACCAAGAGGTGACTTAGAAGTAGCATCCCCAAACATGATTGATGTAGTAGGGCGCTGCAAGGCTTGGTGAATACTCAGTTTTTGTGCCATTGTAAGTGATATCAGGTTGATACTAGTACCAGAATCGACCAAGGCATTATCAAGCTCCAAATGGCCAAGTTTACAAGGAAGTGTGAACTTCCCTTGATCCTCCAGCTTGGGCAAGAAGATAGGTGAGGTCAGGAGGTAGTTCTGAGCATTAGAATCCTCCAGAAGCTTAGTACTCTTCTGCGTGTAAGTAACACATCAGTTTCACCATTCTTAATCTGTATTCCAAGTTTGGCGAGTTATAAAACAAATATAGAAAAATACATGATGAGATGAAGTTGAAGGAGATTTTGACATTGGTTTTGAACTCTTGACAGGAGCAGCAGGCGTAACTCCTTGCATACGAGGAGATACAATGTACGGTGACTCCGTACGTAAGTCCTCTACTAGAACATGAACTCGGTTCACTGGTCATGCTACAAAGGACTTCAAAGACTCATTAAGATTTGACTGTTCTTCAGTGGGTCACCAGAGAAAGGTATCGGGTTGTATCACCTCATCTACAAAAACATTAATGGTACTTGGTCCAAGAGGAAGGCCGTGCACCAAAGTTTTGGGATCACGACTCTGCCAACGGCCTTCGGCAACCGGTTCATCGTCATTTGTTAGCCAATGTAGAAGTTTGCACTTGTTCAAAGAGGTTGTGCTTGGGCTCTCTCATTCACATTAGTCGGAAAAATTTCTCGCTATTAGCTAGCTAAACTTTAACTACCATAAATCACGAATGAGGATTGGTTAATAAGAATGTACCTTTGGCGGAATATCTTCTAAGTCTAACTCCTCAGCAAGTGATACAACACAATTCTGAGGCCACGCAATGGTCTCTCCTACAGCTTGGGCAATAGTATACATATTCTGAGCAGGTCTCCAAAGAAAGGCATCTCCTCTAATCATTGTATCAACAGACACCTTGACGGAAGTTGGCCTTAATGGTATGTTGTTGACGAAGTCCATGTGATCAAAGATAGAATGCGAGCCTCATCAACTTTATAATCGAACCAGACCAATCAAATAGAATACACTTGGTGTGCTTCCTTTGGTTTACAGTCTACAAAAAAAAATTACTCTTACAACATGTGAACTTTTACTGACAAGTAACAAAGACTATCACTTTCGAATAAAATGCTTACTTTTGCTGCCGAGTTTTCACCCACCTCAATCTCTGGACGCTGAAAAAAGGTATATCATTTTCAGTAGCATAGGCCAAACAGATGAACAAAAATGAGATATTTGTGTAGAAACTTACGTGGCTATTCATTTTCGCAAGAGTCTCCTGTAATTCATGACTTGCTGCTGCAATTGAACTTGAGTTTGTTGCATTTCTGTGACATACTTGCTCTTCACCTGGAAACAAGCAAGCTTGCTCATGCTCATTCCGCGACCCATTGCCCTGAGTCGTCCAGGGTTGTCAGGTCCTAATATTTGCGCCAGGCAGTCTTCTTTTGGGTTAGAAGACGACAACAGAGTATCAGATTGGATGAACTCATTGGCCTTTTGCTGGTAAGAGTTTGATTAAAACAGTTAAGTGTCAAACATTTACTGAGTGTTTCTCTTACAATGAAAAAAACTTAATATTTTAGAAGCAGCATTCGTGTTTATTGCTGTCCCATCCTTCTTAGTCTGTGACTTCACCCATACATTCAGCCGTGTAACTTCGGCTGGTTCTGGGCTTTCTTTTTTCTGCACAATGAAATGTATCCAATTCGTAACACATTTTAACAAAACTCAGCATTACCACAAAGATTCACATGAAAGAGTGATAGTTACCATGTCCTCTGCCAATCTAACCATCCCTTTACGACTACAATTGTGAGGAATTTGCTTACTCCTTCTTTCCTTGTATGAATCGATAACAGCCTAACTCGGAAATTAGTACACATTAAAGGCACATACCACTTAAACGTAAAAGTTATTACCTTGAACTCTTGGCTTGTCTTTAGTTTAACAAACTTCCTCCATTCTGCAGTTGGAATATTGTATGGCCTTAGCTTCATTCGGTCCGAATGATTCTGCGCATCTCGTATTTGTTTAACCAGCCTTGATTAGATGCCCTCCATAAGCATCCCATCTGCTTCATAACAGCCGCCTTCTCATATTCTCCATTGTGGGAGTTGGAATCCGCACAATAGAATCAAGAGATATTTTTAAGAGAGGGCCTAGAAATTCTAAGTGTAACACAAAACGAGATCCAAAGGTAGTGGTTTTTATTGATGTAAAGTGTGATGAGCTGTGCAGCGTAACAGTGTGTCAAAAAGTGATGGCTGAAACAATGAGCCTTAATATCTATTTATACAAGTTGTTCACCGACTTTCTCTGAGAATCTTGTGAGATATTCTCCAAGATTTGGTGTTATCCTTTGCGGCGCCGCCAACCTTGCGTTCTAGGGCAAGTCACAAGTGCGTCGTGGGCCTCAGCTCGAATCGTTGATGTTGGTTCGGCCCAAGTCGACGTTGGCCTGGCCCATTAACTTCTTACTCCGCGTTTGTGGTGCGTTGTCGTTTTGAACACTTAGACTTGGCTCGTCGCACACTTCGAACTTGTTGAACTTTCCCACGTCGTGAAGGTTTGGGTCGTCGCAGCTAGTTGGCTCGTCGTTGGTGATTCCTTCTGCGCACTCTTCATCTACGCGCGCCTTGACCGTTGGTCTCGATGGGGTGAAATCCATCCCCAACAGTTAGCCCGCCAGCTCGTTAGTCTTAGAGATAAGAGTGACGAGCTTGAAGAATCTTGACCGAGACCTTCAACGGGCTTTGTCTGACACCAACGGGCTTCGTCCGTACGCTTTTGTTTTTGTGTGTTGGGCCGTCCTGCGCTGAGCCCGATTTCGGGCCGAGCCCATTCTTCTTTGCCGAATCCGATCACCGCTCGTCTCGGCCGTACCCGTCAGTTCGTTGATCCGTCTATTTTAGACGAGCCCGACTTCCTTCTTGCTAAGCAACTCTACTTTGCTCTGCGCCGATTCCTTCTCTCGATCCGAGGCGGGTTTGAGATCTGTGCCGAACCAATTCTCTTTCTCGTCCCACCTTGAATCTGATTGCGCCGAGCTCTTTCGCGAAGACTCATGTTGCGCCACGAACCGACGAGCCGAGACCTCCATCCACTTTGGATCCGAAAAAGAATGGGAAGGTGACTCCAGGCGCTCCAAAGACAATCCCGCCTCCTTCAGATTCTCAACGCCGAGGTACTGTGGTCGCTCTTCCTCCTTCGCAGGAGGGCGTTGATGCGCCTAGCCGCAAGCGACTTGTTTCGGATAAAGATGCGCCGGAGAGATGTTCTCAAGGTTGTTACCGAACTGTCTTCATGAATTGCTCCGCCAAGCCAAGAGACGCATTTGACGAGTTGGTCGGTTTCAAGGCCTAGCAGAAAGTGTTCATGACGAACCGTCTGCACTTGGAGAATTGGTCGACGAGCCCACTCTACGACGAGCTATCTTTGATACGTAGATTATTCGACGAGCTGACTGATCTAAGGTTGTGCTTGGGCAACATGTCGACGAACTGCACTGACGAGTGGCGACGGACGATTTGTTTGATGCCAACCTACGTTATTGACTTGCTTCTGACGAGCCAATTGATTGGTGATGAACCAAATGATGAACCAACTTAGTCGTGGAGACCATTCGACGATCCGAGCTGTTCGACAACGAGCTGACTTAATCCAGGAGGACGTATGATGAGCCAAACTATGTGACGTCGAACCAACTCAACCGAGAAAGTCATTTGACAATCAAATTGGTTTTAATGCCGAGCTAACAGGTAGATGACGAGCTGGATGGTCCAAAGCTACGCCGAGATGAGTTGTTGACGAGTTGAACGTGTTGTTGCCTAGCCAATGTTTAGCGAGAGCTTGCAGCGAAGTATAAGATCGATTAGCGAATGTTTGGCCGAGCTGAAAATGCGTGTAGTTGGTGGCCGAGGAATCGTCTGAGAAAGGATCGTCGAGCCGTAAGGTTTGGACGGGAGTTAATCCTCTAAGTCTTAGTTTTCATAGACGAGCAGACTTCTGCCAAAACTTTGCATGATGATGTTTAGAAAGAAAGGTTCAAGTTTTCCCGACGAATTCACACTTGGCTATTTCCGCGGTTTGAACAAACTTTCCATTGTAGAGACGTTAAGACCAGCTTTGCCGAGGGGCACTTTGTTTCAACTGGGTTTGAGTTGTCTTACTTCGGTTTTTTCCACAAACTCGCACTCGGCTGTCTTTGTGGGTTGAAGTGATCCATAGTCAAGAGACGTAAAAGACCAGTGTTACCAAGAGGCGTTTTGTCGTTTCTGGGTTTAAGGTATCTTTGTTTCAGTTTTTTCCACGATCTTACCCTCAGTAAGTCGCAGGTCGAAACAACGACAATCGATCGAATTTGTATAGTGCGCGCTTATAAGATAGAGAGTATTAGTGAAATCCATGTTGGATTGTATGAGTTCGTTTGTTGTGGCCAGCAACAAGCGAGAAGTGAGTAGGGTTGAAGTTAGTCAGAGTTGACTTGAAAGTGCGAAAACAGTTTTCGAAAGATTGAGATTAGCGGCGAACCGCGTTACAAAGAAAAAGACAAAAATGACTAGGCGGTATGCCGCGTCACGTAATGGAGAGTATACGAATGTACATACTCCACTCCCCCCTCTTTTTTTTTGGGAGGCAACTGAATCCATCAAAGATGAATTGCCTACGTACCCCTCGCGGGGATCAAGTCACGCGTAGTTCTTGTAAGAAGATGATCAGGTCGGCGTGATAAGATCAGCCTTGTAAATGCGAGATGAGCTCGGCTTTAGTCATAATGGTGTGAGCATGTGCTTGATTTTTAAATTCGAGAATTGGGTCGGCTTTTAAGGAATTTAGATGCGAGACTTGGCTCGGCTTTTAAGGAATTTAGATGCGAGACTTGGCTCGGCTTAAAGTTGTTGTAAAGACGAGGCTACGCTCGGTCAAAGTGGATTGTCAGTTTGCTATAGTTACCTTGATGTGTTTTGATGGTTGGTATGATCAAGACCCAACTTAATGTTATCCTTGGGTCATTCGACTCACCGGCTCTATCGGTTTGTTCGTCCGCTCACCATTAAATCCATATTAAGGGGAAAGAAGGGAACTTGTCATTCATAGACATCCATGTGACATAGTCTACTGAAATGCCATCTCAAATCCATGGCTGTTTGCTCTGACCTGAACATCATCTTAAGGGTGTGGGATGATTGGAAAATACCTAAGAACTTTCTGAGGAACTCCCTTCTTTATCTCACCAGTGTGCATGTTCGTCTTCCATCTTGAAGTCTTGCATTTTGGACAGACATCGACCTTCTTCAGTTTTTTCCTGAACAAGCAGCAGTCATTTACACAGGCATGGATCTTCTCGTACCCCATATCGAAGGTTTTTAGGAATTACTTGACGTTATAAGTGGATGTGTGGAGGAAATTACCTTCAGGTAACACATTTGGCAAGGTGTCCAGTAGCTCATTGAAACTCTTATCTGACCACCCATTCTGCATCTTGATCCTAAACAGAGAAACTATGGGCGAAAAAGCTTACTGTGGTGTACACACGCAGGATACAATGGTGTCTCAGCTTCTGCAAGTTTTGCTAAAAACGCATCTTCTTTTCGGTCATCACTCTCAGCAGCTTCTGAATCATCTAAGCCCTTACTAACTAAATCCTCATCTGTGCATCTTGCAGCCTCGTACAGACCCAAAATCTCATCATTCCTACCATTATGTTGGCCTGGTTCTATAGCTAGAGAGTTCCCATCTCCATGGTTAAACCAATCTGCCTGTATCTTGTAAGCAGCATCCATCCCATTTATAACTAAATGTGACACAACGTCACTATATGCAACTCAAACTAGGGTGCGAAACAAACCACATGGACATATTATCTTCCCATTCACTCCTAATTTATCACTAACATCATCAACAAAAGCACAGGCACTGATATACCTCTATTTTACCTACTTTTTATGCTATTTTACTATGGTTTTCTAATGGTTTTCTAGTGGATTCTTGTGTTAAAAGGTAGTTTTTATGGATTTATAGTGCAAAGAGTCATTTTAGGTAAAAAGGTGCATTATGGAGCAAAACAGGAGATTTGGACTCTAAACCAGTTCAATGCCCTGCATCAACTTTGGATGGAGCTAGAAAAAGATCTACTCAATGGATTTCATCAAGACCAGTTCCCTGCGTGCTCTGATTGAGTTAACTTTCCAACGCAAGTGGAACGGCCTATTTGGATGAGTAGAAAAGGAGTTATAGCCAAAAGAGTGAAGACTGTCCAGACGGCCATATCGAGAATCAGCGCCAACCGCACAGACCGGCTGGCCGAGGAACGATGTTCCGCGCTCGGCCAAAACATATCCGTCCGTCTGAAGTCTCGGCCAAAGTTCGAAACCGACCGGCCGATCACGATCACGCAACACGACCCGGGAAACATTGTCCCGCGGTCGGCCAAGCTTCAAACGTTTCACGCCACGCCGCGCACGACCATGCCGCGCGAGCCGGGAACAAGCCTCGCGGCCGCGCAACCCGTTTCGCGTACCACGGCCGATGCATCCGTCCGAGCCGGGAAAGAACGTCCCACGTCCGGCCGAGAAACCATCGGCCAATCTCATCCGCCGACCACGCCGGCCGACCATGAAACCATCCGGCCACGACCGTTCCGACTCGGCCAACCCGACTGTCCGGCCGATCGTCCCGACCGACCGTCCGAACGCCGCGGTCGACCCGAAGCCGTTTTTGAAGCCCAATCCGCACAATTCAAGCCCAAAGCCGGCGCCGACCTAGCTAGATTAGGTTTAGCCGCTTCTTATACTTAGAGCATTATAAATACTTCTTTTTAGCCTTGTAACTCAAGAAGGAGAGAGACCACAATCTATTTTACATCTTAATAAAGTTTTGCTTGCTTTTACTTTGTTCTTGCTTGTTACTCTTTCTAGAGAGGATTCGAATCTCTGTTCTTATGAATATGAATTCGTGTTCCTTCTCTATGTCTGAGTAGTTTACTTGTTAAGTGATAGGAAGTCAAAGGATAGCATTCATGTATGCTTGATGATTGATCACAATTAGGGTTTTACTTATAATCTCCATCTTTGCTTATACTTAATGCTTGTTGTTAATCTGGCCAATTAGCATATGCCTTTAGGTTGATTTGAGCCTCGACAGTGCTGTATCATTCGCCTGAACTAGTATTTGGTGGGCAATCTCTTTTAGACTGCGACAGTTGATCTACTTGTAGGTTGTGAACAATTGATCTTGATCGAACTAATGCTTGATTTAATCACCTAGGGACATACCAAAAGTTTAGCGACTAGGTAGATTAACAAAGGGGTCGGAGCCTCGACAGTGGAATGATCATACCATAGTGTTTCAAGTTCTAGATTAGCACCTAAGTGCGGTAACCCTAATTGATTGATTTCATGCTTCTTGAATTGCTTATCTCAAGACTATCCTATTGCTTAGCTTTCTCTCCTATTGAATTCTCACTTTTATTACCTGCATGCTGATGATAGGATTTGTATGTGATGTGATAGATGTGGTGGAATGCAACAGTGGTAAATGATGATGAGATGGTATGGTGCAATCACAATCAATCAATTCCTCTTAACCATCATAGTCATTGAAGTATAAGAGGTTATCAATCCATAAGGGTGAGATGTTGCTCTATGAGAATATGCAAACACAAGAAAGTCAAGCCAAATGATTAAATGGAGGGATGTAACAACTAAACAACCTAATATGAAATGAAATGCAAGCAAAAGCAGTAAATAAAAGCAGCTCGACCAAGAGCTCGATCGAGTTGATGAGCTCGATCGAGTTGAGGGTCGAGTTGGTGTAAAAACAGAGGAAAGCGAATGAAAAGCAATAAAGGTGCAAACTTTAAGATGCTAATGCGAAGATTAGGGTTAAAGACAGGGTTTTGCAGCTAAAGGGAGGCTATACTTAATCAGTCTTGCTCTTAAACAACTTGTACTCAAGCTATCTCTTGATATTGAGCTTCTCAATGCCTAGCTAACCCTTTCCCAAGGTGAAAGCTATCAACCAAGACTTGATCTCAGAAACAGGGGGTTAGCCAGTGAGAATCAAGCCTTGGAGGCCATAGGATCATTGCTCAAACTAATCCATCCAACCCCTATGAACTCCATTTCGAGAGCAAGAGTTATTGGAGCTCTTAGTGGACCTTTTCCAACGATTTCCATCACTTCCATGTGGAGAATCGCCTATGGACATACAAGCCAGGGATAGTGGTCATGTAGCCTTAAGGTTTGTCCAAAAGAGAGAGATTTCTAGATTAAGAACATAAAGCAAGAGAGATTAAGCATAAACAACCTCTAACCTATCCCATCTTAAACCCTAAAGAGAAACTACTCACTACACATGATGAAATAAACAACCAAATGCAATAAAGAGACATCAAAAGATAGAGGAGATAAAGATAAACAACTTTTATTGAAATAGCAAAGTGCAAAAACACAATAACAAGGCCTAGATCTAGGGTTCTATGAGCAAGAGCTCAAGAACACAAAGAGAGGCTAAAAAGTAAAAAGAGAAATGCAAATACAAGATTAATTAAAAGGTTGAGCCAAAGCTATGTTTAATTCGTGGCTCAATGCCATTTATAGTAAAGCAAACTAGGTTTAGGGTCAAAGGGGAGTCAAAGGGAAGCAACATTTTTCGGGTTTGACTTTGACTCCTGGAAAGCAGCTCGATCGAGTTGGAAACTGGCCGGTCGAGCTGGTGGGTCGAGTCCAACCAATATCGTCGTATCTTCTGAACCGCTGGTCCGAATGACATGAAACCACCTCCAGACGAAAGCTAACTCAATTATCCACAACTTCCAAGAAGAGGTCAGACACTGAATCGTAGTGAAACCCTTCATTTGATACGATACTTCGGACGCATCTCACTAGCTCGACCGAGTGCGGGTCCGTACATGGGGCAGACAGAGTCTTTCCTTCCTCAACTAGTCTCCAGTGATAGGCAATGTTCCAATTGGCTCCAAATGACCTGATTAAGACATCAAACGTGCACATGTATGCAAATGCAAGCCTAAAACTACTATGTATGCAAAAGAAGGGAAAACATCAAGAAATGATGCTTTGGGTGAATGAAACTATGCAAAAGATGCATAAAAGAAGGGCTAAAACCATGTAAAATGCAAGTACATCACATGCCTTACTTTCTCAGCACTCAACCAAACTTATACTTTTGCCCTAGCTTGATCTCAACTCATAGCTTGTAGTGTGCAATCTGGTCCTTGTGTTCGATACCCGTTTACTACTTCTGACCTGTGCACTTGCAGAATCAGGGATAGGAAAGGGGAAGACCTGATCCCGCGATCAAGTTTTTGGCGCCGTTGCCGGGGACCAATTCGCACCTACAAGTTCTTGCAAGAGAGCTAGTCTAGGGTTTTTACTTTTCCTTTTTAGTTTTTGTTATTTCCTTTTTTCTTTGATTTGGTTTTTCCTTTTTGTTTTTAGCTTTTCAGGTTTTCCTAGTTAGATATGGAGAAGGAGCCACAAGCCTCTTCCCCTATAAAGGCGATGCCACTTCGCCACATACCACCTCAAAGAACCTCTTGAGCGAACAAGAGATGTCAAGCCCTCAAGCACCACCACCTTCATGGGATAGTCCTCCAAAACTATCTCCTTGAAGACAAGAAGAAACTTCTTCCCTACCTTGAAGCAGCCGACCTGGAGACGTCTAGCCAAGCCGCATCACACCAAGAAGAGCACCTTCTAGCCACACCAGAAGAGGAGATTGACCCTGAGCTGATCGAGTTCGTGAAGAGAGATCAATTCCATGATCTGTTTTCAGAGTATGCACTGGAGCACATAGATCACTTTGACAATCTTTGTGATTCCTATGGAGTTTTTGACTTTGAGAAGAAGATGATGCTATTCAGCACATCACTAGCTGGACCAGCACTAGATTGGGCGCAGCATGAGCCACTCTCTACAATCGAGTCATGGATCGATTTTAGAGAAGCTTTCTTGAAGAGATTTGCAAGGAACCACCTTTCAAATCCAAGTACCACCACTACTCTCATCAGCTGGAGAGAGAGCGTGATGAAGAAGAATGGGGAGGCATACCACCCCATCCTGAAGTTTTGAATGAAGAGCTAATCAAGCATGTGGAGAGGAATCCTTTCTACAATTCTACTTCAGAGTGTGCAAAGGAGCATCTATGCAACTTTGAGCAGCTTTGCCACGACTATGGACTTGGAGACAACCCCAAGAAGATACAACTTTTCCAACTATCTCTAGCTGGACAAGCCAAAGAATGGGCTAAGTTCAACGCCCAACATGCTTTCAAGACTTGGAATGGATACAAAGGAGCTTTCCTCTACAGATTTGCTAAAGGTCCTATTTATGTCCCACCACCACGCCCAAGCTATTCACAACACCATCCATCATCACCAGACATAAACAAGACACCACTTTTCCCAAGGGAGAGCTATCAAGCTGCGCGCCAAACCAAGATTGAAGATATGCTTCAAGAGTACTTGAGAAATCAAGAAGAGAGTACAAAGAAGATGGAGAGAAGAATCGATTTCATCCATGAGAGCCTTGGAAACAAATCTGAAGTCCTATTCAAGCAAGTGATCAAGCTTGATGAAGACATTAAGAAGTTAAGAGAGGATCATGATCGATCTTTGAACCCTAGTTAAGCTTGATGTTGCTTCCAAATATCAAGAGTTGCTGAACAAGAGCATGAGAATTGAAGATACTAGCTATGGCAATAGCAAACATCTTGGATCAATCTACAACCGCCTACAAGCCCTTGAAGGATCATCTCATGCCAATTACAAGAGAGAGAGGAGTCCAACACCCAACCACCCTCCCTTTTATTGCAATGCCATCACAAGAAGAAGCACTACTCAAGTCCATGAGGACAATGAAGAAGAAGAAAGAGAGTATGAGGAACAATTGAATGATGAAGATGAAGAGCAGAGCATCGACATCAATGCTTCCCCAAAACAGAGCATGGATACACCTAGCCCTAAGACCCTCGTTTCTCACCAACACCAAGAAGTCAAGCTTCTACACTTCCAAGACTGGAAGCAATGCAAAGACCATCACCACCTACTGAAGAAGAAGATACTTGGCAATATGATCCCATTGATCCCAACAAGATAAGCCCCATGAAGCTTAAGAGTTCAATGCTAAGGTGAAATCACTTCCATTCTATGTCACTTTTGAAGAAGCTTGGGATAAACATGGTCTAGTGGAGTTCTTTTTCACAACTAGTGAAAACAAAGAAGAGATACACCAACTTTTCAGGAAGGCACGATTTCCCATTGCCCCTCATGGAGTCAATCAACCACCATCACCACCATCATCACCACCACCCAATGGTATGTCAATTCCATATCAAGAGAGAAGCTTGCTGAGTTCAATCAGTTTGTCCAAACTCTTCCAGCCAGCATGTCTTTCCAACAAGCTTGGCGCCACTACCCATTCACCACCTTCTTCCACAACTGCAAGAGACACCTGAGGACATAAAGAGCTTTTTGAGAAAGCTAAAGTTCAGCCTACCTTCAAGACCCTCTACAAGATTGAAGACCCAGGTCAATTCTCTATTCCCTGTCAAGTAAATGGTCATTACTTTGATAGAACACTATGCGATTCTGGCTCTTGCATAAACCTCATGCCAACCCAAACCGCCAAACTCCTTGGCATCACACGCTTGCAACCTGCTCAAATTAGTATTGGACTTGCTAACCATACTATAGCCAAGCCAAGAGGAGTTGTTGTTGATGTTCTTCTAGAGATTGGAGATATCAAGATCCCGGTGGACTTTCATGTCATGAACATTCAAGGAGGATGTGACACACCATTGATACTAGGCCGACCCTTTTTGGCCACTGCTGGAGCTGTCATGGACCTTCCAAACCGGCGAATGTCCTTAGCCAATGTGACAAGACAGTCTTTTACAAGACCATACCATTCATCTCACCAAACAAGCTGTCTTACCTCATCACTGCCCAAGGCCGCCCAAGAGAACCACCAGACCACACTCAAGGTCACAATGAGACAAGAACTAAAAGACTATGTCTCAGGCCGTGCCCTTACCCCATCTCCAACTAAGAGATCCTATCAGTCAAGCTAATGACTCAAAAGAAGCGCTGCATGGGAGGCAACCCATGAAAGGTGTTTTTCTTATCTTTTCTTTTCAATTAGTTTTAGTTAATGTCTAGTTTTGTTTTGAGTTTTGGATACAGGAATCTAAGAACCACACAATGGTAAAGAAGATATACCACAAGAAGAATGTCATAGTTGGCGCGACTTGATGGCCGAGCAGAACCTCTCCACGCTCGCCCATGTCCTCTCAAGCCGCCCAACACACCATCCCATCTCATTCCATCTGCATCTCACCCATCCCACCTCACCACACTTGCATTCCATCACTACCATCATTCCACTGCATTCACCATTCTTCAAGTAACACAAATCAGGTTACATCTTTCTTTTTACATTCACAACCACTTTATTACCTCTTTCTTTAACTCCCTTAATTGGATTTTCTTTCACCGGGACGGTGCAAGTTAAGTCTGGGGGGATTGTCGGTACTAATGTGTTTGTTCATGGTTGTTTTGATCTTATAATTGGTTTTTCCTAACCCACTTTTTCAAAACTTCTGTTTTATTGAGTCAAAACCAGTCCGGGAACAATGAACTTGCTTTGAGATTTGATAGTGTCATGCTAACAATCTATGACCCTAGAGCAAACATCAGCTGAAGGCACAAGCCTAACAGAAGCTCCTAGAGTGGATCGGCATGCTAGCTCAGTAACAGGGATCTTTTGAGTGTATGGAGTTTTATTGTGTTACTAATGCATTTTTCTTTCTTTTCTTATGTTTTATTTACTTTGTTTAATGTTTTCTTGTTTTATTGAGTCAAAACCAGTCCAGAAACCATGAACTTGCTTTGAGATTTGATAGTGTTGTGCTAACAATCCATGGCCCTAGAGCACAAGCCTAACAAAAGCTCTTACAGTAGATCGACATGCTAGCTCAGCGAAATTTCTAAGGTAACCAAGCAATCTAGAGTTAACCTCACCCTTAATCAATCTTAATAACTCTTGTCAAGGGGATTGGCATACATGTCGACAGTTCCTTGCTTGATTTTCAAAGACTTCACCTCTCTCTCCCATCCCAAATGGTAAGTAATGTTTATGAGAAAAGCTCAAAGAGCACAAGGAAAACAAGTAAGCATGAGGAATGCATATGTCTGTACCTTCATGTCTTATGGAATACCTAAATCAAACAAGGAACAAGCTAAAGACTTATCCTGTGGTTGAAAGAAAGGTCAATAGAAAAAATAAAATGATACCCTAGAAAAGTAGGGAGAAATTGACCTTTCAAAGTTCTGATGTGAGAAAGAGAGAGGAAAGGAACTCATTGCACTTCAAAGACAATCTTGGAGAAGATCAAGTGGGTAAGAACAAGTTCAATTGATCGATTTTCCCTTGATAAAGAACTCACGCTTTAAATTTATGCAAGAGGTTAGCAATAGAGAGTTTGGATTGCTGGATGAGACTAGTTGGGTTGGTATTGTTCGCTAAACTTGCAGGGTGTATGTGAAGCTAACCTTATGTTGCCTATGTTCTTAGTGGAATACAGGAAAGGAACCCTTCACAGGATATTCAAAAGAGCAAGGGAGCTTCCACGTTGTAAAACCTCTTTCACGGATCTAGATTCTGTTTGCTTGGGGACAAGCAAAGATCTAAGTCTGGGGGAGTTGATATACCTCTATTTTACATGCTTTTTATACTATTTTAGTTTTATTGTTTTCTAATGGTTTTTGGCAGGTTTTCTATCTAAAAAGGTAGTTTTACTGTGTTTATAGTGTCTAGAGTCTAAACAGGTGAAATGATGCATTTTGGAGCAAAACCATAGGATTTGCACTTCAAGCCGCTCCATGCACAAGCACCAACTTTAAGAGGGCCCAGAAAAAGATCTACTCAATGGATTTCATCAAGACCAGTTCCCTGCGTGCTCTGATTGAGTTAACTTTCCAACGCAACTGGAATGGCCTCATTTGGATGAGTAGAAAAGGAGTTACAACCAAAAGAGTGAAGACTGTCCAGACGGCTCTATCGAGAATCAGCGCCCAAACCGCGCAGTCCGGCTGGCCGAGAAACGTTGTTTCGCGCTCGGCCAAATCACATCCGTCCGTCTGAAGTCTCGGCCAAAGTTCAACCGTCCGGCCGATCACGCATCACGACCCGGGAAACATTGTCCCGCGGTCGGCCAAGCCACAACCGCTCACGCCACCGCGCACGACCATGCCGCGCGAGCCGGGAAACAAAGCCTCGCGGCCGCGCAACCTGTTCGTACCACGGCCGATGCGCCGTCCGAGCCGGGAAACTACGTCCCGCGTCCGGCCGAGAAACACCACAGCGGCCGACCACGAATCCGTCCGGCCACGACCGTTCCGACTCGAGCCCATGACCCGATCATCCGGCCGATCGTCCCGACCGACCGTCCCAACGCCGCGGTCGACCCGAAGCCCGTTTTGAAGCCCGTTTCATATTTTCAAGGCCCGGCTTAACCCTAAGCCGCCTCAAAAGACCTAGCACTATATATATAGCTTTTTAGCCTCTTGTGAAAAGAGAGCCGCCCTTGTATTTCGATTTCCTACTCTAAGTTTTATTGCAATCATGTTTTCTTCATCTCTATGTGTGTTTGCTTTGATCATGTCTGAGTAATCCACTAGTTAGGTTGCTAGGGTTACTATCAATGAGTTGCTTGCATGATCTTTGATTTCGATGATTAGCTAGGGATTATATAGAGTCTTTGTCTCGTCTTGTGCACTTAACTAATGCTGATTGCTTTACCGCGCATCTAGTAATCCGATCTTAGGTTGATTTGAGCCTCGACAGTGTTGTATCATTCGCCGGACATATTCTTTGACAAGCTAGGTTTCTTAGACTGCTACTATAATCTAGTGAACTGTATCAGAACCTATTCATTCTAAAGCTTGATTTAATCACCTAGGGACATACCAAAAGTTTAGCGACTAGGTAGATTAACAAAGGAGCCGGAGCCTCGAAAGTGGAATGGTTTTATATTCGTGATCTGTGTTCTAGACGGTTCTTAATATCCCAATATCCCTAATCAATTCATCTATCATTGTTTCATTGATCATTGCTTGCTTCTCTGCGATTAGCCCCTGATGACCTAGCGTTTCCTCCTTATTGATTTACAACCTCGTTATACTTGCTAGTTCGGTTCACCATTACAACCTCAATCATACTTTTGTTTTAGCTTGATCCAAAATCCATAGTTTCAAAGTGTACTCAATAGCCAGTCCTTGTGTTCGATACCCATACTTCCGCGATCTGTGCACTTGCAGAGGTCTAGGAGTTTGGTAAAACCTGACTCCACATCATCCATACCAGAAGCGATGGTTCTACAAGTCGGTGAGCTGAAGACAGCTAAAAAGGTGTGGGAAGCCATTAAAACGAGAAACGTAGGGGCAGAAAGAGTGAAAGAGGCTAGGCTACAGACTTTGATGTCAGAATTCAAGCGTCTTAGGATGAAAAAAACCGAGACCATCGACGATATTGGAGGAAAGCTAGCTGAAATCGCATCAAAGGCAGCTTCTCTAGGTGAAACAATCGAGGAACCGAAGTTGGTTAAGAAATTTCTGAAGAGTCTTCCTCGACAGCAGTTAATACACATAGTAGCATCGATCGAACAGATGTTAGATCTTGATGGAGAGGCGGAAGATAGATAACGAAGATACACAAGATTTGTGTATAATCGGGTTTGAAATAAACGTAGAAGATCTACGTTTAGATCAATAGGTTTGGAATACTCTTCCCCGTGCTATGAAAGCTCGATAGAGGTTGGGAATACTCTTTCCCGTGCTATGAAAAGCTTGTTTGGCTACAAAAGCTTAAGGTTTATTCAATATCAAAGTTATCTTTACAAATCTATACAACATTCTATTTATACAATCGGAGGAAGATCTTTATAGTATCTTGTGATCCTAATCTACAAGGAATTATAGTTATCCTTAAGTAAAAGAAATCTATCAATTAAATCTAGACATAACCTTGCTTGACAAACACGTAAAGCCCAACGAACATGTTTGTCGTTAAAAGCCCAAATCCATATTATTCGCTGCATCACTCCCTCTGGGTTTGAAAAGATTCGTCCCTGAATCTTGATCATTGTTCGGCCATTGCAATCGGGTTGAATCACATGTTCCCAAGTCAAAACAACAAGCAACAGTTTGCTGGATGCGCATGTAGCGTGACTCCAGTAAATAACCTTGGACCTCAATTGTGGGCAATGAAAATCTCTTATTCGCCACTTAAAAACCCCACGATGCCACTCAAAAGTTATGGTCGGGAAGGTTACGAAAGAACCAAAAGGACGCAACACACGTGTCGAAAAGGGAAAATGACGAAAACCTCGTACTCTGGTAAGCTTGGCCGCATTCGCATATGTGAACAGACCAATATAAGGACCCACAATACGGAATAAGACGCCCCAAAGGAAACCGAACTGGTACTCTTCTCTCTGTAATAAATTACTTTGGTGTAAGTAATCAAAATCATGATCTTGGTGAGACACCGAATCAACCATCATGACATCACCAATGAGAACTTTGTCAACAAAATCCATTTCAGCATCCAATTAGATGCATTGGTACATCCCGAGTAGAAACACAAGCTCTACTTTGTTCTGTAATATGCAGCCCTTCCAAGTATCCACGGCCAGTTACGGAATAAGATATCAATAGAGAAAAAATCCAATAAATTATCTACACATATCTGTTGTCACCGTTAGTGGCATTGAACGACCCACACTTCTCACATGCATTTCCATCCAAAGAAAATCCAAGAGTGAAAAATTTCTCATGGCAAAATGAATCACTCCAAGATAGTGAACCTGAAGATGTGCTCTTTGACCCATAAGGCATGCTATGTGAATAGGTGTTAGCCAAGATACTCAATTGTGCAGTCGGTTTTGTTATCTTGTTTTGGTGTAAACTCTCACTAGCCTGGTCCCATTGTCTCCTCAATCTGATAAACTCTTCTTTGTGTGACGCAACAGCAAGCTTGCTTAATTCGCAAGTAACGTCACACCACCAAATAGTTATCGTGGATGTGTCATTGGAACCCCAGTGTGGGCGACACATAACTCCCATTCCGTGCATATAAGTTTTGTAGTGCAGCAAATTAAAAACTTAAACTCATCATTGTCCGCGAAGACAAAGCCACACAATAAACAAATCCAGAAACCAACCGGTGGTGGTTCGAAATTGGAGTCTTCGACCTGAATACTTTGTCCATACAACTTACTACAGCATTCAAATCATACCAACAAAGGAGTATAAATAGAGAAAAGCACTTGTAGACCATTCGGAAACACTTTGAACTGTGAGCAGGAGCCAACTGAAAGTTTAGATATATCACGGCAAGCCAATTATTTGCCGTTGCGTACGCACTGTTTCACCCAAGAAGTAGCATCATATTCGTCCAAAAACCAACTCTTACCCGGAATCTTGACCCTAAAAATAGCCTTCTCCCACCTAAGTACGGCAGTAACCTCGTCAACGAACTTTAATGGGGTCACATACTCAGTTTCCAGAAGTCTTTGAAACCCCCCACGTTTCAACCGAGGTTGAAAAAACACGGCAGAGAAGAACATGACAGGAGGAGTTTGGGATGAGTGGAGGACATACACCAACGCCATGAGAACCCACGTAAAATTAGACAATTCGCTGGAAGTGATTACATAGACCACATGATAGCCAAATAGAGACACTAAACATTGAGAAAAAGAGACCAGAAAGTGAAACTTTGGATTGTCACAAGCTCCATTTCACCAAGGTGCACTGGAAATTCCATGTAACTGATATACCTCTATTTTACATGCTTTTTATACTGTTTTAGTATTGTTTTCTAATGGTTTTTGGCAGGTTTTCTATCTAAAAAGGTAGTTTTACTGTGTTTATAGTGTCTAGAGTCTAAACAGGTGAAATGATGCATTTTGGAGCAAAACCATAGGATTTGCACTTCAAGCCGCTCCATGCACAAGCATCAACTTTAAGAGGGCCCAGAAAAAGATCTACTCAATGGATTTCATCAAGACCAGTTCCCTGCGTGCTCTGAGAGTTAACTTTCCAACGCAACTGGAACGGCCTCATTTGGATGAGTAGAAAAGGAGTTATAACCAAAAGAGTGAAGACTGGTCCAGACGGCTCTATCGAGAAACCGCGCCAAGCCGTGCAGAGCTGGCCGAGAAACGAATGTTCCGCGGTCGGCCAAAATCAATCCGTCCGTCTGAAGTCTCGGCCAAAGTTCAAACCATCCGGCCGAGTACGCATCACGACCCGGGAAGCATGTCCCGCGGTCGGCCAAGCCACGCCACTCAAGCCATGCCGCGCACGACCAAAGCCGCGCGAGCCGGGAAGCAAGCCTTGCGGCCGCGCACCTAACTCGCGTACCACGGCCGATGGCATCCGTCCGAGCCGGGAAGCCACGTCCCGCGTCCGGCCGAGAAAGCATCGGCCAATCTTCACCCGTCCGACCACAGCGGCCGACCGCGAATCCGGCCACGACCGTTCCGATCCGACCACGACCACACCCGATTCCGGCCGACCGTCCCGACCGACCGTCCGAACGCCGCGGTCGACCCGAAGCCCGTTTTGAAGCCCGTTTCACGTATTTTCACGGCCCGGCTTAACCCTAAGCCGCCTCTGAAGACCTAGCACTATATATATAGCTTTTTAGCCTCTTGTGAAAGAGAGCCGCCTTGTATTTCGATTTCATACTTTGAGTTTATTGCAATCATGTTTTCTTCATCTCTATGTGTGTTTGCTTTGATCATGTCTGAGTAATCCACTAGTTAGGTTGCTAGGGTTACTAATCAATGAGTTGCTTGCATGATCTTTGATTTCAATGTTAGCTAGGGATTATATTAGAGTCTTTGTCTCGTCTTGTGCACTTAACTAATGCTGATTGCTTTACCGCGCATCTAGTAATCCGATCTTAGGTTGATTTGAGCCTCGACAGTGTATCATTCGCCGGACATATTCTTTGACAAGCTAGGTTTCTTAGACTGCGAAAGTTGATCTACTATATCTAGTGAACTGTATCAGAACCTATTCATTCTAAAGCTTGATTTAATCACCTAGGGACATACCAAAAGTTTAGCGACTAGGTAGATTAACAAAGGAGCCGGAGCCTCGAAAGTGGAATGGTTTTATATTCGTGATCTGTGTTCTAGACGGTTCTTAATATCCCAATATCCCTAATCAATTCATCTATCATTGTTTCATTGATCATTGCTTGCTTCTCTGCGATAGCCCCTATGACCTAGCGCTTTTCCTTTATTGATTTACAACCTCGTTTACTTGCTAGTTCGTTCACCATTACAACCTCAAACCATACTTTTGTTTTAGCTTGATCCAAAATCCATAGTTTCAAAGTGTACTCAATAGCCAGTCCTTGTGTTCGATACCCATACTTCCGCGATCTGTGCACTTGCAGAGGTCTAGGAGTTTGGTAAAACCTGACTCCATCAAGTTTTTGGCGCCGTTGCCGGGGACTGCAGCAGTACCTTTGGAACTCGACTAGGATCTAGTCTAGAACCTTTTCCTGTTTTGCTTTTCTTTTGCTTTTGAATTTTCAGTTTTTGATTTC